AATGGCTTAGGCAGATAAATACACATAGGAGCCTTCCCTGCAATGGAATTCTACTCCACAGTGGAAAATGGAACAAACCACTGATAAATGCAGCAGCACAGATGAATCTCAAAACATGATATTGAGCAAAATAAACCACACACAAAAGAATACATCCCATCTGATTCTATTTACGTAGTTCTAGAACAGGTGAAAATCAATGGTGATAGAAATCAGAGTATTGGTTGCCTAGGGGTGATGGAAATAGTCTATTTTCTATGTTTTGATTGGAGTGACAGTTACACAGGTTTATACATTTGTTCAAGCTCGTTGAATTATATACTTCAAATCTGTGTACTTCATTACATGTAAATTATACCGCAATTCAAAAAATGGCTTAGGCAAGGAAGAGAATGAATTGATTTGTTCCTATAACTGAGAAATCCAGAGGGATGGCTTCAGGCTTGGCTTGATCAAGGGCTCAGATGCCATCACCAAAGCTGTTTCTCAGCTCTGCTCCCCATGTGTTGGTTCCCTTTCTGGGCAGGCACTCCCCTGCTGGTGGTCATGTGCTGAAGCCGCCCGGTCTCATCTTCCCTCCCAGGCTCAAGGCCAGCGAGGGCCTCTTCCTGATGGGCTCTGATGCCCCCCCCCCTGCACCCCCGCCATCATCACACCGCAGGTGCTTATCCGTGATCCAATCTCAGGGCCAGGGGCCTTAGTTTTACAACTGGCCAGGCATGAGTCAGATGTCCTTCCCCTTGGAAAGGAGGTGGGGGGAGCATGTATTTACCCCCCCAGATCATCACGGGCTGAGAGGTGGGAGAGTGGGCACCGGTCACCGTTCCCCAAAGGATGTGGGGTGCACGAGGTGAGGGGTGTCTGGGGGCCAGCTGGGGAGCCGCACCGGCACGCCCACACATTGCTACAGCTCTGGCCGCCTCACTGTTCGTCTCAGAGCAGTGGGAAGGACGTGAGATTATGTCCCACTGCAACCCTGACTGCCTCTAGGATCTCGAGACCTCACCTAACCCCTCGCCTCAGAGTTGTGAGATCCAAGATGCTGTACCAGGGTCCTCATAAGCCGCCCGCCCCTTGGGAGCTGCCCACAGAGCTCGTGATAACGCTGAGCGTTCACTCAGGACTTGCTTTCTTGGGCGTCGGCTGTCGGACCATCCTTCCGAATTCCAGGACTGACAGAAATGCCCAGACGTCGTTCGGGCGAGGGCCTCGCGTAGGAGAAAGGCTCACTTCACTGCAGGGCTTGCCAGCAGTGACCTCGAGGTCAGGACAGCTCAGCTGGTCTCCCGGTTCCTGGGTCAAGCAGGCTTGAGAGGTTCTACCCTGGGCCCTGGTGCGAACCCTCGCTCCAGACTTGGAGCAGCTTTACGTGCTGTCCTGAACCCGTCTCTGCCCGTGAGTTGCAGGGGCTGGTCTGGCAGCGTTCGGGGCTAGGGCTTTGCTATTGGGTCTGGTGAGGACTTGGGTCCCCCGACAGAGCAGCCCCGAGCAGGGCCTCCGCTGCTGCCCGGGGTCTTTCTGGCAGTCCAGTCCAGATCAACCTCTCAGGGAAGTCTCCAAACAGGCCCGTGGGCGTTTCTGGTGTGTTCCCAGCAGGACCCAGCATTCCTACCTGTCAGTAAGAAGTAATGTAGTTTTGGGAGCAATTAGTCACACGTAATCCTGAGCATTTCTATGCCTTATCTAGAAACTTGACCCCAACTCTGTGGGCTGGTCAGGGCGTGGTGATTCTGGGCCCGCCAGAGGTTGGGTAAGGTGTAGGAGCAGGAAAAAGTTCTCATCCGCTGGGTAAGGTGTAGGAGCAGGAAAAAGTTCTCATCCGCCTGCTGGAATGTCTGCTTATCTGAGCCCTGGGAACGGACGTGGAGGAGTCGGTTATTAAAGCTTCTCTGTAAAATGAAACGCAGCATGGGCGAACCACGTAATTCTGCGTCGAATCGAACCATACCCATCGGAGTAATTTTTGGAAATGGAGAGGAAAGAGACTGACAATGATTTTCGTCCATTAATATTGAATTAGGTTAACGTTAAAGACGTTTTTGTCTTATGTCTGAAAAAAGACAAAATCACGGGTCGTTATAGTGGTTTAAAAGGTGCTCATTTTAAGATCAGTTCCAACACAGATTCTGAATATCTGTACAATTTGGACTTAGGAAAGTGTCCTTGTGGGACAGGGACAGTTAGGTGGGGGGGATATGGGGAGGTCAGGCGGTGGTGACCTTCTGGGAAGTGAGGGTGAGAAATCTTTGTAGAAGGAGAAATATAATTCATTTATGACCTGTTAGCTTGAAGGCCACTGATACAGGATCCCAGAGAAGGTGTCTGTTGGCCTTTAATAACCCGTCTCCCTCCCTGGGGTCCAGCCCATGGGCGTGGCTTGGGCCAAGGTTCAGGAGCCTAGGTGTGTGCATAGCTGAGACTGCAGTGACGTAGCTGGAGAGAAAGGGGAGGCTCTTCACGTAATACTGCCCCCCACCGACGTGATACCACCTCCCCCACCACGCCAGGGAGTAACCACCGTGGGCAGGACCCAGAGATAAGCTACAGAAAAGGAAATGTGATCCTAACTCAAATCCCAGGCCTTCTACCTGTCTGGAGTGGGATGAACACCATAGGTTAAAGTGAAACTTTTATTCTGTTCTTAAACTTTGTAGAATGAAATGTGATCTAAATACCCTGGAAAATAATGGGCAGAGAACACTAGCAGACAATTCACTGAAAAATTCAAGATCAGTACTCTACGAAAAAATGTTCACCTTCACTATAACGATAAAACCTATAAATCGGAAGAATGCAATACCTGCTTTTGCACGTCAACATGGCAAAGATTTAAAAAAATACTTTTCAACTAGGCAAATAAAAAGACAAGCCAGTTTAAAAACGAGGAAAGGATCTCAATTGACATTTCTTCGAAGAAGATATGCAAATGGCCAATAAACTTATGAAAAGATGTTCAATATCATTAACCATCAGGGAAATGCAATTCAAAACCACAGTGACCTACCACACGTGCTAGGGTAGCTGTAATAAGAAAGGTAGACCATAGCGAGTATTAGTGAGAGATAAATCGAAACCTTCATATACCATTAGTGGGAATGTAAAATAGTATAGCCGCTTTGGGAAATAGTCTAGTCTGGTAGTTCCTTGAATGGTTAAACACAGAATTCACCGTGTGATCTAGCAATGCCACTCCTAGGTATATAGTCAAGAGAAACAAAAACGTACATCCATATAAGACCGTGTACGTAAATAAGCAGCCTATTCATGATAGTGAAAAAACTCTAAATGTCTATCAACTGATGTACAGATAAAACAAATGTAGTATATCTATATAATGAAATTTATTAGGGGACAAGAAAGAATGAAGTTCTACTACATGCTACAACCTAGACAAACCTTGAAAACGTCATGCTAAGTGAAAGAAGCCAGACAAAAGCCATATATTATGTGATTCCATTTGTATGAAATGTCCCAGATAAGCAGATGTATACAGACAGAATGGAGATTTGTGTTTGTCCAGGGTTGGGGGGCAGGTAGAGAAAATGGGGAGTGACTGCAAATGGATACTTGGTTTCTTTTTGGGGTGATGAAAATATTCTAAAATCAGATAGCGGTGACAGTTGCAAAACTCTAAATACAGTAGAAACCACTGAATTGTATGGGTAAAACTTAGGGTATGTGAATTTTATCTCCATAAAGCTGTTATTTAAAAAAAAAAGGAGACTTAGTAATAGTGAGGGAGAGAGGTCACAGGGGATATTATGTTTGTGTGCTTTTCTTTCCTGGAGGATAATTGGGTGGGTACATGGGTAGCCTTAAAGAGGTGTGACCTCCTAACTCTGCCCTAGAAATATATCTTAAAGAAAAAAACTAGAGATTTATAAAGATTCATGTTCCTAAATGCACCAAATTAGTATATAAAAAATCAGCAAGCTATAGGGTGCAGCCGTAGTCCCAACGGAGATGGGAGGATTGCTTGAGCCTGGAGTAGGAGATTAACCTGGGCAACATAGTGAGACCCCATCTCACAAAAAACATGAGGTGCTTGGAAACATTCTAAATACCAGCTACAGGAAAATGGTGACTACTAAAAAAAAAAAAGGTTCTATTATACAATCATTAAAATCATGTTTTCGAGGACCATTTCGTAATAAAGGAATTTCACGATAGAGTATTAAGCGAGGAAATATGATGAGCTGTATGTGCCATCATGCAGACGGGGTTAGCATAGCAGACCTGAGGCTCATGTCCTTGCCTGCTGGCGAGGGTGGCCCCGGCCTGGCACCTGGAAACCTGGTTCTGGGAGTTTTTGCACTGTTGCCTGGCTGATGAGGCTGGTTCGTTGAGCCTAGGCTGATGGTGCAAACAATGTGGTTTATGGTGAACACCTGCTTTTCTTCTGGGAGTCCAGAATTTTGGTACATGCTTGGGAGAAGGTGCCTTCGTGACCAGCCCCCAATAAAACCCTGGGTGCTGATTCTCTGTTGGGCTAACTTGGGCAGAGAGATTGCGTAGGCATTGCTGCATTTTTGTTGCTGGGGGAAGAGTGCGCTCTGTGTGACTCGTCACGGGAGAAAGAGGGTGTAAGGACGCCTGCGTGTGGATTCCTCCAGACTGACTGGGTTCTTCCCCCTTACAGTCCAGCCGTGCGTTCTGACCACGCTGCTGTGATAAATCTTGGTCATGATGACAACCATGTACCGAGTCCTGGGAGTCTGAGCACATCCTCACACGTGGCGGTGGTTATCCAAACTGGCTTGGAAAAATAACAGCAGCGTGCATGTAAAGTAGGCAGAAAGGAGAGAGACCAGTTCACGGTGGCTGCTTTCGAGCTGTGTTACGAGTGACTTTTCTTCTTTATACATTGCAATATTTTACACATTTTCTATATTGATGTCACTTTCATGTTCAGAAAGATTATTTGAGTTAAACGTTTATTTGTTATGTTCAACATTGTCATTTTTAGAGCGTTTGACCTCTGAAGGGGCATCTCTTACTTTCTCTCAGGGTTGTAATCCGCTGGCGCAAACCGGCCGGAGCAAACTGCAGAATCAAAGAGCTGCCTTGAACCAGCAGATCCTGAAAGCCGTGCGGATGAGGACCGGAGCTGAAAACCTTCTGAAGTAGGTGTCTCTGGCTCCGCTGCGGGGAGCCCGGTCTCTCCGGAGGAGGCCTGTCCGCCTATCCCCGAGCCCCCCAGACCTGGCTCTGGGTTTCAGCTTTGGGTTTCCTCCTCATTCCTGCTGAGAGCTTGGTCATGTTCAAGGCAGATATTTTACCCAGCCTGTTCGTGTCTTTGAGGATGGGGTGGGCGGGGGGATGGACACAGACAGTGGGGTGTCTGGCCTCAGTTTAGTCAGCTGTCTTGACTGGAAGTCCAGTTATTATCTTGGTGTTTGTTTTCCCTGCTTTCTGTGGAACTTCTGTGTTTTCTGCACTGTCTAACACTATGCCTGGTGTAGAACCACTGCCTGGTAAGTGTTTATTGAGCGTGTAAAGGAAAGGAAGGCAGAAAGGAGGAAACGGGGGCATTCTTATTGCCAGGGTCCACCTTTCTCAGGAGAGGGGCCAGTACAGCCCCAGCTCCAGGGCAGCCGTTACTGTGCCGTGGTGATAAAATAGTTACTTATCAAGCAGAACTCGGTGAAGCTTTACCTGTGTCTGGGCAGCTATAAACCCTCTCCACGCCCTGAACTGCAGCAAACGACAATGTGCCAACTTCCTTTTGTATAAAAAGTGCAGAGTTTCTTCTTCCTTCAGAGTTCTAGGGGTGACCCTTGACAGCCCCAGGCTGCCTTTTGCGGGGGGTAGTCTAGGTGGTCACCAGGCTGCTGCCCAGGTGGGCGAAACAGATGCCTCCCGGGGGCTCAGGAGAGACGTGGCGTGCCTGCAGGGACCTGCAACCCGAAAACCCGGCAAAGAAGGGGCCCGGTCTGCCTGCTTGAAACTGCAGGTCCCTTGGAGCTTCCTGGGACTGTCAGGGATTCCGGGGGTGCGGGTGGGGGTGCCAACATGTCTGCAGGGGTGTTGATCATGGGCGTTCCCGATGGGGTGGCTTCACTGCTGGAGGCCTTGGGGGGCCCGGAGACTTCTTGGGAGAATTGTTGGGAAAAACAAATGAACCGAGCGTATGTAAAAGGGGCCACAGGCTCTCTGCGTGCTCACGGACACGCGTGAACGGTGGGAATCGGCTCCTCCCTGTGGGCCGCTCCCCTGAGCATGTGCGAAGCAGGAGGACGGGTTCTGAGCATGATCAGTTCATTTCTGAATTGGTCTGTATTTGCTCCGTGGGAAAGAGCTCGGAAAGATCTCTGAGATACTAAGTGGGGAAAAGAAGAGTGCAGGACAGCGTGCCCTGCATACACGCGTATGTTTGAAGGATTTATACATATGCTTTTGTGTATGCGCCAAAGGAAGAAGAAAGGAGCTGTTAATAGAGCTCTTGGGGACAAGACCAGGAATGGGAAGTGGAAGTGACTCTTACTTTTCATTTTAGTCCCTTCGGTGTTAGAATGTGCTTTTACCAAGTGCATGAAATACTTTTATTATTATTATTATTGTTAATTTTTTTTAAGAGACAGGGTCTTGCTCTGTCACCCAGGCTGGAGTACAGTAGTGCAGTCATAGCTCACAGCAACCTCAAACTCCTAGGCTCAAGCGATCCTCCTGGCTCATCCTCCCAAGTAGCTGGGACCATAGGCACGTGCCACTATGCCCAGCTAATTCTTTTATTTAATGCTTTTGTAGAGATGGGGTCTGGCTATGTTGCCCAGGCTGGTCTTAAACTTCTGGCCTCAAGCGATCCTCCCACCTTGGCCTCCCAAAGTGCCGGGATTACAGATGTGAGCCCCCATGCCTGGCCTTTATTCATTTTTTATTGTGAAATACCACAGAGCTGCAGAAGAATAACATAAACAATCCCCCTGAGCCTGCCACTCGATCAGGAAGTACGGTGCTGTACCTGTGTCGGTTTTGTTACTCAGGGAATAGAGAAGGACTTGAGGTCCTGGCTGGGAAGGTGTCTGGGAGCCTCTTCTCCAGCTCCTTTTGTAGCGGGGTGCAAAGGAGGTCGTCACTGGAGGAGACTGGGAAAATACTGTAATGTTTTGGCTTGTAAAACGTCTGACCGTGGCCCTGTCCTAAGACAAGTCTGAGCTTGGGAATTGTTGGCACCCCACAGCATGTGGCCTTTGCTGTCTGGGGGAGGCCCTCTTATTTGGGGACTCCCTGCCATGTGCTGGGAAGGCTGTGGTGTGTCTTGTAGCCGTGGCTTCTGGTTGACACTTGGACAGGTCAGCTTTGTGGCCGAGGGGCAGGCGGGCAGCCCTGGTGCTGGGGGCTTTCCGGGAGGGGGCCACCATGGGTGTGCCTGTTCAGGGAGCACCTCTTTCTGTTTTTTAAACTTTTTTAGAGACGAGGTCTCGCTGTGTCGCCCAGGCCAGAGTGCAGTGGTGCAATCGTAGCTCCCTGTAACGTCGAACTCCTGGGCTCAAGCGATCCTCCCCGCTCGGTTTCCCAAAGTGCTGGGATTACGGGCGTGAGCCACTGCTCCGGCCCCCACTGAGTACCTGTTACGTGGCAGGCGGTATTTGAGGTGCAGGGGACGAGGCTACACCCAGTTTAGACAAGGCCCTGCTGTCATGAGGCTTAATTTCTTATTGCAGGGTGGGAAGGTTAATATACAAGTAAACAAATCAGATCACGTCAGCAAGCGGTGTTTTCTAGGGCATGATGAAACAAAAACGTGGTAGATGTTGGCTCAGGGTGGCACGGCCTCGGGGACAGGGTGGCCAGGGAGGCCTCTGACCAGGGCACTTGGAGTTTCTCAGGCAGGAACTGGGGCAGCTTTGTGTGTCCCATTCTGTGGACCAGCAAGCGTGGTCTCTGAGGCCCGAGCCGGCTCAAGCTCATTGTTGAGCGGGCAGGGGTGGGGGTGGGTGGGAATGTTAATGATTCCCACAGTGACCTAAGGGTTCAAAGTGCCCCTCTCTGGAGAACGTTGTCAGAGGAAACCCTGTAGGTATTTATTAATCTGACTCAATCGGCACCAACGGTTTCCCGAAAACAAATAGGGCACTTTGCCAAGCCCAGCGCTGGCCCCGCGGTGTCCCTGGGCAACCGATTGCATAGCTGTCCCTGCGGGCAGTAGGTAGTTTCGGTCACGCACTGGGCCCCGCTGTCCTTTGGTCGGCCATCTGGTTCCCGGGTTCCCACCGCAGCCCCCGATGAAGGCAGAACAGTGGGAACGGGGGCAGGGGTCCGTTTGGGAAAATGTCCCCAGAAATGCAGAGACGGAAGCGAGGGCCCCAGCCTTCACCGGCGCTGGCCGAGGGCGTCGTGGCTGGGCAGGCACCGTGAGGAGCCGGGTTTGTGCTTCCTCCCCGTGCTGGATTCGTATCAGCCGCGAGTCCGCGAGCTTCCTGGAGCTTGATTAGGAAGGTATCAGGTATTTTAAATGTGCTCGTTTACGCTAAGCAAAGACAATATTCCTTCTCTTCTCCCCCTCCCTTCCCTCCCTTGAGAAAAGCTGGGGTAGAAATGGGATATTATGTTTCTCTGAAACTGGGATGGTCTTTGTGAAATTTAAAGCAAGTTGCCTAGGTTTAACTAGTTTTCACTAACTAGTTCTTTGAACGACGGCTTCAGGCTCCGCTCTTATACTGATAACTTGTTGGGCTGGATCAGAAGTGGCCCGCTCTGAGGCTCACAGGGTCAGGTGGGCCTGGAAGTGAGTCATGGGGCAGGAATCAGTGCTGTCACAATAGGGAGGGGTGAGGACTGCGATAAAGTTCAGAGCTTATGCCCTCTCCGGAGGGGCAGCTGCGGTTTGCCCCATGGGGCGCAGGGCCAGAGTCCACAGATCTTTCCTCCCACCCCTCTACCCCTCTGGAAGCTGGAGAATTAAAAAAAAAACTTTCGATTGTCGAATTTTTAAACATTGGCAACTAGTTTGAGGGTGAAAAATATAACATCCTGAGAGCCAAGTGAACAAGTCCCACTGGCCTCTCCAGTCTAGTTTATGACCTCTGGAGCAGAGGGTCATGAATTCTAGGCCAGTAGTGACCTGGGGTGGCCTCAGTCGTAACGAGAGTGACTTGGGGTTAATGACTGCCCACGGCGCCAGTTCGGAGGGGGCTGGTGTGTGTCCGTGCAGTGAAGTGTGCGAGCCCCCCATAGCCTTTGGGCGGCACCAACTCTGAGGCCTGTCCTCCTACACCGAGACATGGGCTGGGGGCACACGTCCTGCTGGTCTGGCTGGTCTGCCGCCTCGGCCGGGTGGCACCGAGGGCGTGAGCTAGTCCTCACTGCAGCACCCCCAGTCCCCGGCAGAGTGGGATTTGGAGCCAGATGCACTAAGGCTAAACTGCTCTAATAAGGTCTCTGGAGCCGTGCAAGCCACTGGGTCAAAGTGGTACCTGTTCCTGGAGGGACAATTTTATTAAAAGACTTGGGAGGAAAAGAAATTACACGCAAACAAATGGTGACCGAATGCAAAATTTACAAGTATCTTTAAGACAAAACAGGGGGCATTAAAGAAGTTTTAGACTTGGGGCAGAGAAGCTGTTGTCACGTAGCCGATTTGTTTGGTGGAAAAGGTCTCAGAGGCTCCAACTCGCGCAGACGTGGACGTGGTCAGTGGTCAGGAAATAGTTGGCTGTGGCCTGCCTTCCCCTGTTCACACCTGGCGGTTGGATCACTCAGAGAGCGAGTGGGACACCGTCTCATTCCTGCCTCTTAGAGTGTGCATGCTCTTCATGAAAACCCAAGGGAGTGGCCTTCTCTTGGTGGCCAGGCCAGAGGGAGGCCACGGAGGACCTGAGCAGAAAGACTCTGGGTAGGACAGGGCTGATACACTTTCTGCCTCATCCTGGGCTGCCTCACGTTCTCTTTTGGCAGTGACGTCAGTGACTAGACCACGGGGCCCTCAGAGGAGGTGTACACCCAAGCAAAAGCTGAAAGGGGCTACGTTCTTCTGAAAAGGCACATAAAAATCATTTGTTTTCATCCAGAAGGCCAGCCTGGGTACAGAGCAGCAGTATGGGCAACCAGGGCTCCAGCTTTAGCCTCTAATTTGGGCCAGTTGGTTCCATTTTTGTCTGTTGTCCCAGCCTGGGCCCAGGAATAGTTGGGTACACCCGCCATCTTGAATTGGCATTCCTTGTTTGAGAAACCCCCTTCCACCGACGCATGAGTCAAAACTCCTTACCTGCTCAAACTCTGGGGTGGGTTTCTGAACCATGGCTGCCCCTGAATGAAGGTCAGCACTGTATAATAGAAACCAGCCCCCAGACCCCGCCGGGCTGCCAGCGTTTCTCAGAGTGACCCACACAAAGAGGTCCACATCCAAAGTGCTCGTTGATTCGTGGCAAATGTTAAATCAAAAATCGTTGCCAAGCTGGGAGGGGGGTGACATGGGAAATTCATCTATAAAGATGGAAAAATGAAGAGTTGGCATTGTTTGGAGACTCTGCAGGGATTTGGGTGGGTGGGGGGTCTTAGGGCCCCAATTGGTATATTTCGATTGGACCCACTCTGCTGGCAAGAACCATTCAGCTCCCCACTGCCCAGAGAGAGTCATCTTCATTCTGCCGTTTGTTCTTCTGTGAAGTGGGATTTGTTGAGCCCCCATGATGTGGAAAGGACCATGTCTTGTTCTTGGAGAAGTACAAAGAAATAAAAGTCTTCTCCTCCAGGAGTTATAATTGTCTATCTTTCCTCATTCCAAAATGGATCTGAGGCCCTTAACATGCTTGGTACATGTAAGATTGAAGCGGGAGTGAATGGCGAAATGAGGATGGGAGCAAAGAGAAGGGAGATTTATCTGCAGGTCAGGCTAGTATATGCCACCGCGTCCTGGCCTGTGTACTTTGTCAGATGTGAGTCTCAGTTTGTCTCTGAGCTTCCTGGCAGGCAGTAGGAGGAAGGGAAAATGATCTGCAGGTAAGGTTAGTACATGCCACAGTGTCCTGGCCTGTATACTTTATCAGATGTGAGTCTCAGTTTGTCTCTGAGCTTCCTGGCAGGCAGTAGGAGGAAGGGAAAATGATCTGCAGGTAAGGTTAGTACATGCCACAGTGTCCTGGCCTGTATACTTTATCAGATGTGAGTCTCAGTTTGTCTCTGAGCTTCCTGGCAGGCAGTAGGAGGAAGGGAGTTTGATCTGGAACACGTTGTATACTTTTTAGTGAAATGGAAGCCATTGCCACAAAGTGAACCTGTTCCCAGTACTGAGGGTTCGGAGAATTTTCTTCCCTGGATCCTCGTGGACATTGCCAGCAGCTGAAGCAGTTATGTTCTCAGTAACATCACGGTAGCACAGGTTTTACAGGCTACAGATTGTTACACAGGGTGTATAATGAAATCAATTCATGGGCGGCCGTGGTATAATAAAAAATAAATATTTGGTCTTTTGTCCTGTTCCTGCGTTCCTGGCACAGAGCTTCTAAAACCCATGGAGCCTCTTGCATGATAAGGGTATCTTTTGTATGCTAATGAAATGACGCTTGGGAGAGGGGCTTTAGGATGGGTGCTGTTCTCAGAAAGACCAAGCAATGATTAGAGGATTGGGACTCTCAGCTCCTCCCTTCCTGCTTCCCCTCCTCCCACCTCCAGAGATGGGGGAGAGGCTGGAGATTGAGTTCAACCTCCTGTTTACAGCTGGAAAGTCAGAAGTACAGGTATGCCCCTTCCCTGGGACCCGTGACTGTGCCTGAATGGGGACAGGCTTGTGGGACTGAGCAGCCCTCAACCTGTGGGGTCTGTGCTAACTCCAGGAGTTGGTGTCAGAGTTGAATTGTCGGACACCCAGTTGGTGTCTGATTATCAGAGAATTGGAGAGTTGTACCATTGTTTGAAGTTATTAGAGTAGAATGGAGGCCGGGCGCGGTGACTCACACCTGTAATCCTAGCACTCTCGGAGGCCGAGGCCGGAGGATCACTTGAGGTCAGGAGTTCAAGACCAGTCCAAGCAAGAGTGAGACCCTGTCTCTACTAAAAATAGAAAAAATTAGCCAAGCATGGTGGCGCACGCCTGTAGTCCCAGCTACTCAGGAGGCTGAGGCAGGAGGATCGCTCGAGCCCAGGAGTTTGAGGTTGCTGTGAGCTAGGCTGATGCCATGGCACTCTAGCCCAGGTGACAGAGCAAGACGCTGTCATGAAGGTCATGAAGATTTTCTCCTGTATTTTCTTCTGGAAGTCCTAGAGGTATAACTCTAACATTGCTATGTTGCGGTCTGTGAGCCATTTTGAGTTGATGTGCGTGTACAGTATGAGATTTAAATTGAGGTTAATTTCACATAGCAGGACTAAGACTGCTATCCTTAGAAAGGCCTGCTTGCAAGATTGGCCTTCGGCTGGTGTCTGGAAACTTAGATTTTAGAAGATATCCCACCATTCCCAGACTGATGAGAGTGACTCACTGTGCCTAAACTGTTTGTACAAGTGGTGTGGTTTATACTGAACCGCCTGCCTGCCTTCTGGAAATTTGGAGTTTTGGGACATGCTAGGCAGAGGTGCTTACCTGACAGCCCCCCAGTAAAAACACTCGGCACTGCGTCTCTAATAGTCTTCCCTGGCAGATGGCACTTGGCACGCATTGTCACAAATCACTGCTGGAGGAATAAAACACAGCTGTGTGGCTCCACTGGGAGAGGACTCCTAGAAGCCTACGCCTGGTTCTTCCAAATTTCACCCATGTGCTTTTTCCCTTTGCTGATTTTACTTTGTGTCCTTTTGCTGTAATCAACTGTAGCCATGAGTTTTGCGAGTCCTAGTGAATCACTGAAGCTGGGGTGGTCTTGGGGACCCTGACGTATCTCTGCATGTCCAATTGCTTCAGCACCATTTATTTTTGTTTTTATTTTTTTTAAAACAATTACTGCATCATATGCAACCAAAGGACCAACTTCTGACTGCTCAGTTAGTAGGGTGTCATCATTTGGCAGCACCGTATATTGAAAAGACTGTCTTTTCCCCTTGAACTATTTTGACACTTTGGTCAAAGTCACTTGACCGTAAATGTAAAGACTTATTTCTGTACTCTATTCTAATTCACTGCCTATCCTTATGCCAGTACCACACTGTCTTGGTTACTGCGGCTTTCTGGTAAGTTTTTAAATCAAATAGCATAAGTCTTCCAACTTTGTTCTTTTTTGAAATCGTTTTGGCTCTTCTAAGTCCTTTGCAATTCCATATAAATTGAGGCCACGATGTGTTTTTTTTATCCTTTATTAACATACTGTGTTACATTAATTGATTTTCACAAGTCAAACCAACCTTGCATTCCTGGGATAAATCCCACTTGGTCATGATGTATAGTCCTTTTTGTATGCTGCTAGGTTTGGGTTGCTAGTTGTTGAGGATTTTTGCGTATATATTCATGAAAGATATAGTCTATTGTTTTGTTTTCTTGTAATGTTTTTCTCTGGTTGAGGTCAGGTTAATGCTAGCTTCACAGAATGAATGTCGAAGCCTTACCTCTTCCTCTATTTTCTCATCTATTTCTTTTTAAGGGGATGATTTATGGCCTTTTAGGGAGTGACTGGGAGCCGTCTTCTTTTCTTAAGGCTAACTTTTTGCAGGGATGTCTTGGGGTTAACGTCCGGCGGCTCACAATGTCGTTGGCTACGTCCCCAAGTCTGTTTGCTGGCAGGTGTGGATCACGGTGGGGCAGGTGATCAGTCTCTTACCTGGTCACACCTGGTACTCATCTGCAGGCAGTCCCCCGAGCTCCCCTGCAGGGCTTGGGGGCCGGGTCTGCTCACCCAGAAGCTGGGATGCTTGGCTGAAGGCACTTCTCTCCCTCCTCTCTTTGAACAGAGTAGCCACGAACCAGAAGGTGCGGGAGCAGGTGCGGCTGGAGCTGAGCTTTGTCAACTCGGACCTGCAGATGCTCAAGGAAGAGCTGGAGGGGCTGAACATCTCGGTGGGAGTCTATCAGAGCACGGAGTAAGTGGGAGCGATACTTCTTCCAAACACCGCTAAGCCTGAGGGCGTCCCTGCCTCAGGGGTGCTGCAGAGAGAGGCCCGGTGGGAGTTACAGATGGGGGGCATGCCAGCCCCCACTGGGGGAGGGCGAGAATGATCAGGTGTGGGGTTGGGCAAGGTGCTAGAGCTGAAGGGATGCACCCCTGGGGTTTGCTGGGAAATACCTGGAGTGCTGGGCAAAAATGCATTTGTCCAAAGACCTCTCAGGACGTGGCTCTATGGAAGAGCTGAGCGTCTGGGTCCCGGTAGGTAGATGGCATCTCTCACATAGGCTGGGGTGGTGGCTCTGCCATAAAGACACTCTGGAAGCTTCTGTGGATAGCTGTGAAAGCTGACCTGCCAGGTGGGGCCCAGTGTCCCTGCCTTCTTCCCTCCCAGGGCCTGCCGCTGGTCCCTCCGTGGATGGCATGCAAAAGGTATAAACCACCTTGACAGGGAGAATGGGACCCATGTCACTTCCCTGAGCAGAGGGTGCAGCGGAGCCACTTTAGAAGTATATCCCGTTGCACATTCGAGAAACGAATGTTCTAATTCGCCAGCATTCCTTCGGGAGTGGCTGTGGGCGGTGGAATATTGACACGTGGCCTTCAGAAAAGCTCAGACAGTCCCCTGCCCGAGCGAGCCGCCTGCGAAAGAAATGCCCACCTTTTAGAAGGAATAATTTTGAGAGGCTCGAAAGAAGGGTTTACGTGCTTTTTGTGTGTGGGGACGTGAGATTTCTTGAAAAACAGGTGGGCCCCAGAGGAAACTCAGTTGGAAAACAGCACTGGGATTAACAGGAGGAAGACACGTGGGAACTTTGGGTCCCCTTTGGAGTGTGCGTTTTCTGATTATGATCCTCCGCACAGCACCTGGGCGTCTCCTAGAGCCGCGGGGAAAGCTTTAGTGCCTGAAACCTCCACTGGCGATGTCCTGTGGCCGGCTCCCTCGCAGGCTCCTGGTGTGGTTTTGAACACCTGGTCAGAGTGGCGACAAAGGGAAGGTCCTCCCAGACTATACTCCCGTGTTCAGTTCTAGTGTTTTGCCCCAAAGTTCTAAGTTCCTCGAGGAGGCAAGGCAGGGCCAAACTTCGGTCATAAACATAGGATGTTTCATACTTGCATTTGCTGTGCTGAAGAGCAGGGGAGTCCATTGGGGGGCTCCCCGCAGAGCCATGCACTTGTGGCCTCCAGTGTGGTCACCGTGGCTCTAGGGTGGCCAGGCACACCCCTGTGCCACTGGGAGGAGGGGAGAGGGATGGGCAGAGTCAACATGACACCTCGCATTCAGGTTCTCTGCTCTATGTTTAAAGTATTTCATTTCTTCCTTAGCACAGCTGATCTTCAGACACTTTTTGAGGTAGGCAGGAAAGAAATGATCTTGTTGTGCAGATGAGAAAACTCAGGGAGGCCTGAGGTCACCTGGAGAGTCATGTTAGTGCCACGTTGGGTGGGGTGCCCCGGTGCAGGGCCTCAGGACACTCACTGCTCCTTCTTGTTGCCTGGTTAGTCCCAGGAAGAGCAGACCTTGCCTCCAGCCCTGTGTGGCACGAGGACAGGAGGGTGGTGGGGTCTGGGGGACTGAAGCCCAGCCCACCCTCATGTCCTTCCACCGAGGTCCGGCTTTCCCCGAGGGCTTTGGGGAAGCCGTGCACCCGGGTTGGGTCCCACCTGCTTTAAGCATAGCCGTACCACAGAGGCAGTTTCAACTTCCAGCCACGTCCTCCACTCACCCTGCCCAGCCTTCCTGACCTTCTGTCTGGGCTGGGCTGAGCAGCCCAAGGAGGTCTCCTGTTACAGGTCAGGGAGCTAAATCCCTATTTGCAAAACACAGTCTGAGCCTCGTTCACTTCCTGCTGGCCCTGCCCCTAGGAATGCAGCTTGGGGAACACTCCCAGGGCGACCTGTGGGTTGCTGAGTGGTCAGCGAGGGGAGAGGAGGTGGAGGGGAAGTGGCTGTCTTGACTTCAGGCTGGGAGCCTGGGGTACTTAGGTGTCAGATGGGGGCCCCTGTCCTCAAGGCATTTCTTGTTCAAGTGATGGGACACCTAGACTGACACGCCCCAAAGGACCAGGCCCCGGCACGCGGTGGCTCATGCCTGTAATCCTAGCTCTCTGGGAGGCCGAGGCGGGCGGATTGTTTGAGCTCAGGAGTTCGAGACCAGCTTGAGCAAGAGCGAGACCCCATCTCTACTAAAAATAGAAAGAAATTAATTGGACAACTAAAAATATATAGAAAAAACTAGCCGGGCATGGTGGCGCATGCCTGTAGCCCCAGCTACTCGGGAGGCTGAGGCAGGAGGATCGCTTGAGCCCAGGAGTTGGAGGTTGCTGTGAGCTAGGATGACGCCACGGCACGCTAGCCCGGGCAACACAGTGAGACTCTGTCTCATTAAAAAAAAAAAAAAAAAAGGACCAGGCCCCTTTGAGACCAGGGTCGTGAGTGTGGGTGTGTTGGACAGCTACGGGAGAGGTGGGCCCCCCTGCGGGGAGGACAGGAAGAGGAGGAGGAGGAGGGTGGGGCCGGGGCTGACGGCAGAGGCCCAGTGTGTGCCCGGGTAGGAGCCCTGAGCGCGCCAGGCACAGACCCTGGCACGTGATAGGTGCTCAGGACAGTTGCTGAAGGAAGCGTTGAGACTGGAGGGACAGACTGGGGTGGAGGTGACAGGGGCCTGGCATCTTTGGCTGAGTGGTCCAGGGTGGGTTTTAGAGCAGAGGGAGAGGCGTGACCCTGTGGAAATGAACCCGCCAGCCAGGTGCGTGTAGGACGGGCACGGGGAGCGGGTGGGACCCGCGCCGGGCTGCGGGGGGCAAAGCGCCCTGGTGGAAGGTGCTCACGTACCTCGTTGTGTTCCTTACAGGGAGGCATTTGCAATGCCCCTGATTCCTCTTGGCCTGAAGGAAACGAAAGATGTCGACTTTTCGGTCGTCCTTAAGGTAAATCGCAGCAGCGGGCGCTGGACGCGATGGAGATACAGAAATGGTGTGTCCCGCTCGGGGGCCTCAGGCTCAACAGACCGACAGTCGGTTGATGTCTGCAGGGTGACCCCAAGACCCCTCTTGGCCGGCTACACAGAGAATTTGTGTACTTATTCGTCCCATGTACTCGCTGTAGTTTTTGGTGACTTTTGAAGTGTTTTCCTGGAAAGGGTGGGTTGGAAACCCAGTCTGGCCTCCTGGGGGAGACCGAGTCAAAGAGGGTCCGTAGTGGATGTGCTACGGAATCTAAAAATTGTGTCTTATTTTAGTATCATTTGTCCTAAATTGTGTGACCAATTGAGGCCATGTTTTTTAAAGAATAGCTAAAGTTTTTTCCCCAATATTTTATTATATACATTTCCAAATGTATCCAAAAATTGTAAGAAATTTACAGTGGACTGTATACTTACTACTACCTAGATTCTACCCATAACATTTTACTACAACTGCTTTATCACGTCTGTCCATCTAAGCATCCCCGTGTCTATCTATTAATCCATCTTATTTCAGAGTAAATCAAAAGATGTCAATTCTCTACCTTTAAATACTGTTGTTTTTTTTTTTTGAGACAGGGTCTTGCTCTCTCGCGTGGGCTCGAGTGCAGTGGCATCACCATAGCGCACTGCAACCTCAAGCTCCTGGGCTCAAGCGATCCTCCTGTCTCAGCCTCCTGAGTAGCTGGGATTACAGGCACGCGCCACCATGCCCGGCTAATTTTTTCTATTTTTAGTAGAGACGGGATCTTGCTCTTGCTCAGGCTGGTCTCAAACTCCTGAGCTCAAGTGATCCTCCCCCCTCGGTCTCCTACTACCCTTAAATCTTTGAATTAACTCTTACAGTTTTTGGTTTGTTCCTCCCTGCATCGCCCCGCCAAATTGGGCTCCGCTCTCATTGAGCAGATGCTTATAGACCCACCAGTGCCTGGCACTGTGCTGGGTGCTGGAGATGCCACGAGCCCTGCCATGGGGCCTAGAGGTCAACGGGGGCTCCAGGTGGGGCTTGGGGGAGGGGCTTCGATGGTGCACACAGCAGAGGCTGCGCCCCCAGGCCAGGGCCAGGAGACCGTTCTGTGCTTGGAATTTCCTCCTCTTTCTCTCCTCCCCCACTCGTCAGTTTGAGTTTCAATGACTCACTTCCAACTTTTATCTAGGAGGAGAAAGAGGATAAGGTGGAAGGTGGTGCCCATCTCTGAGCTGCCCCGCACAGGCGTGAGTTCTAGGAATTAATCCAGCATCACGAAAAAGAGTTATTTTTCTTTCCATAGTAACCCTGTTAGTTGACTCATCTTAGACTACTTTTTGTTTAGAAAAGAAAAAATTATCACATGGCATTTGATCACTCCTTTTAAAAGCAATCAGTTTATATTTTGGAAGCTTCTGCCCTTGACCTTTGTTCTCAGAGACTGTGAGCTGCCTGACCTGAGTCGGGCCTTTTTAGTCATTCATTCACGCATTCATTCATTTTCCAGCATATTATGGGGTTACAAATGTTTAGGTTACAGTCGGGCCTTTTTGACCGAATCCTTGTTTAAATTCAGATCCTGGCCCCTGAGTCTGGGGTGTGTTTGGGAGTTGGAGAAGGGAAGCCGGGAGTGTTTTGGGACTTGGGCGTACCGTAAAGTGGGTTTTCTGGGTGGGAAACAACTGAGGAGTAGCAGCTTTCCGCCAGCGTTGGCAGAACGCGTAGATGTTACGTGCCGCAGGTCTGTGGTGCTCAGAATCATCCATGTGTCTGTGGAAATGTCTCTGGTTGCTTTTGCAGAAGAGTTTCTTTAAGAGTTAGTCTGTCTGTTGCTTGGTGCCAGCGCTACAAGAATGTGGGCACTTAAAAGGGACACTCTCTTGGAGAAACTTAGGAATTTTATAGGCATCTCTAAGGGTCCAATTAGGTCATGTGCTGAATTCCACATTAAAGCGAGTGAAAAAAAAAAAATCACATGTTGTGGGCACGGCCAGCTGCTATTCAGCTGAGGCTTCCAACCATGTCATTTTAGCCTAAAAGGGACGCTACAAACGTCAGTCATACAAAAACGAGAATGTGTGGGAGGCTTTCTGTGTTTTCCCCGTCCACATTTATGCTTGACAGAAACACAGATATCACAGAAGTGGTTCAGCACTCATAATTAGGGCAATTCAATTTTATTTTATTTATTTTATTTTATTTTTGGAGACAAGAGTCTCGCTCTGTCGCCGGGGCTAGAGCGCCGTGGCATTAGCCTAGCTCACACCAAAGTCCTGGGCTATTTATTTATTTTTCTGATTAAGAACATTATTGCAGAACATTCGGAAAATACCAAGACATGTAGAGATCCTTCCCCACCGAGCTATACAGCTTGCTCAGTACTTAATCTTGGACACTCTGGTCTCTTCCTCCAATCGGGACCCTGCCGCGTGAGGGTGCCGCGAGGGAAGGTCGGACGAGATATATTATCCAGTAAGGGCTTGTCATGGTGTCTGCCGATAGCAGGCACTAAGCAAGCCATCTTTCATTTTCATTCTTTAGGAAGCTTCCAGATGCTTGCTGTTGTCAACAGCTCCCCGTTGAGCATCTTTGCACACGTTGCTGAATATACCCTTTGGGTTTTCTCAGAGACAGGGTCTCGCTTTGTCACCCAGGCTGGAGTGCAGTGGCTCCGCCACAGCCACTACAGCCTTGAACTCTTGGACTCAAGCCATCCTCCTGCCTCAGCCTCCCAAAGTGCTGGGATTACAGGCGAGAACCACCACCTGAATAGTCCCCTTGGATAAATTTCCAGATGTGGATTTGTCGGGTCAACAAGAACATATCACCTCATTACCCACCAGAAGTGGTCTTGCCTTAAGAGTCCTACCGACTATGTGTGACTTCTTATCTTCCTCAACCTTTATTTACGCTATAATCATTTTGATTTTTAAAAATATCTTTTTGATTTCCATGAAATCCAGCAAAAATGATATCTTATTATAGTTTGCATTTCTCTGATCAGTATTGGGGTTAAATATATTCTCGTGTGTTTATTTTTACCTTCCTCCTTTTTGAGACGCTTGTTTCTGTCCCGTAATAGTCCCTTCTTTAGACGCATATCAGTCACACTGTGTGCACCTCCTTCCTACCTAGACCTGATGGATATACTATTCTTTTACCACTTGTAAGGAATGATGGCTTTTGTAATTTACATGATTCTCACATCTGCTTAAGTCTGTTTCTGATCCATACCTGGTTCTCTTGTCTGGCCGTTTCTCCCCATTTATCCCTGTGTGTTTTAACACCAAGTAGAACAAGCCTCCTTTGTATTACCATGTTTTCCAAACTTTTTTGGCTTTTTTCCCCATGTTTTTGCTTCCATGTTTTGTCAAGATCATCCCCCCCAATAGTACTCTTGAGTTTGATTGAAATAGATTCATAGATTCAAACAAAACTGCCTCTTTTTATCTGCAAATATAATACTTTCAGTTGCCCAGGTCAACTAACAGCAAGTTTTATGGGGGCGAGGACCACGTCTGTCCTGTTAAAAAATGATTTAATGAATAAATGAAAGAAAGAATGAAATAATGTATGTCCTTCAGTAAAGTTTAATAGTCGTCTGCTTCATTAAATCCATTTTACCCCTAGGAATGTTGTACTTTGTTGCTGTTGTGAAAGGTTTTGTTTCTGTTACATTTTTCTAATTGGTTGCTGCTTGTGTAAGAAAGGAACACTATGGACTTTTTTTTTTACTATTGACTATTATATGTTAACTTTTTGGCCACTTTATTGAATTCTTATTGGTCGAGTAATGTTTCAGTTGATATTTTTGGGGTTTATAAACATGTTATTTTGTTAGAAAATATTATTTTGATTCTTTCTCATAATGTGTGTATCTTATTTTTCTTAATTTGTTGGCTACAGAACTTGCAGATTTAGGCTAATAAGTAATAGGAATATTGGCAGAAATCCTCATTTTGTCCCTGATGCTTCTGGAGGGTTTCAGCTAGATATTTTTTATCCTACTAAGTACTTTTAATCTAGCCTAATTTACTAAGTTTCAAAATCAGGAATACATTTAGAATTTTCTCAAAGTCCTCTCTGACTTTTATGAGGTGAACATAGGTTTCCATTTTAACTTCTTATTTTAAGTGTGATTTCTCCCCTTATAAGAGTTTTTGCCAGTATCCGAAGTAGAGGTTGGCAGGACGTGGTGCAGTGGGAAGGATGCAGCCCTCATCCTTGAGCATCTGCTCAACAGTGGCCCCTTACGCTGCTCTCTCGGGGAGGTCGGGGAGGTCGGCGGGGAAGGGGAGGTCAGCGGGGAGGCCCAGATGAACTTTGTCCTTGTGACCATCCTCACCTTAATGTCGCTAATAGCACAAGAGCATTTGAAAACCATTTCAAGTTTTACAGATGGCCATTGTGTTGGTAGAGGAGCCAGTTCTAAACATCAGCAGTTTAAGTAAAGTCACGAAGAAAATCTCTTGACGGCATCATAAAACAAAAGGAAAAGTTCTTTTAAAAATGACCAAATCAGCTGGCTCACATCTGTAATCCCAGCAGTTTGGGAGGATCACTTGAGGCCAAGTGTTCGAAACCAGCCTGGACAACATATGAAGACCTCAGCTCTCTATTAAAAAAAATTTAGCCAGACATGGTGGCATGTGCCTGTAGCCCTAGCTGGTTTTTTTTCTTTTCTCTTTTTTCTTTTTTTGAGACAGAGTCTCACTCTGTTGGCCTGGCTAGAGTGAGTGCCCTAGCGTTAGACTGGCTCACAGCAACCTCAAACTCCTGGGCTCAAGTGATCCTACTGCCTCAGCCTCCCAGGTAGCTGGGACTACAGGCATGCACCACCATGCCCAGCTAATTTTTTCTATATAGTTTTAGTTGTCCGATTAATTTCTTTCTATTTTTAGTAGAGACGGGGTCTCGCTCTTGCTCAGGCTGGTCTCAAACTCCTGAGCTCAAATGATCCGCCCGCGTCGGCCTCCCAGAGTGCTAGGATTACAGGCATGAGCCACCGCGCCCAGCCAGCCCTAGCTGTTTGGGAGGCTGAGGGAGGAGGATCACTTGAGCC